TATATATATATATATATATATATATATATATATATATATTTATTTATTTATATTATATATTAAAATAAATATTATATATAGTATTATTTATTAGTAAATATTATATAAATATTATATATTATATATTATATATTATATATTATATACATATATTATATATTATATATCATATACATGATATATATGACATATTATCTAAAAAAAAATATTTTAAATACGATAATATTTCGCAGTATCATTGCTCATTTAAAATTAAAATGTATAGGTAACTTTAATATGCCGCAACTCCGCGAAAAAATATCGTACAAATCCGCCTTTTCTTTTAAATTGCAAGGGAAGATCTATACTTGACGATGATCATCATGGAATTTATGAAATAAATTTAGTCCAGCCCATAGGATACGTCAAATTGTGCAATTTTTTGGAGACGCAACACATATTTACTTTTGAAAGGACTGCGGAAAGGGAAGACAGTAAATTCAAAATCGGGCGAATGTTCCTTAAAGTACAGACTTCACTCTTTAAAATAATAAAAAGAGATTCCAAATATATACGATAATGTTTCTCAGTATTATACTCATTTAAAATTGTGCGAAATTTTGATATGAACTTATCTATTCCATGATTTTGTTGACGAGTGTAATAATAGTCGCATATAATTGTTTGCTTATCACATCAAGTATAATAACATCTAGTAATACAATTGTGCCTTCAATCTTTATGGGTAAATTTACATAAATTAATAAAAATTTACATAAATTAATAAAAATTTACATAAATTAATAAAGATTTAGATAAAATGATATTCTAACCTAAAAACTTGTTACTCGTCAGTTAAACAATTTTGCAGGCAACACAGCCGAGATAGCATAGAGGATTCGAAAAGAATTCAATCGTATATTACCAATTCTGAGCTCATTTTTAGGTGCAAACAGAATTTCTTTCACTGAACTGAACTTTGAAGAATTTTTTTTGCATCGGAAAATGAATTCAGAATTGATGATATATTTATAATATACGACAGAATTTTTTGAAATTTTTTAAATTCTCTATGCTATCTGGGAGGACACGAAGAAAAAGGGCAAGATAGAACATTAAGTGACTTGTTTAATCTTATCTTTAAGATGAAATTTATTCAAAGTTTATTAACAATTTATTCAAATTTTATTAACAAATAAAATAAATAACTGGGAAAAAAATATAATTGTAATAAATTATAATCATACATAATTACATATGATTCATATTTGAAATTTGTTTGTACCCAGAGTAACGTCAAATAAACTTTTTAATAACTTTTTAATAATGTTTCTAAAGTCAATGAGACGTTTTTAAATGTCAACTTGCTACCTAAATACATGGCTTGCTTATAAGACTGTTCAAGTAATAAGCAAAAATATTCTTAGGTTACATTATACTTCTTGGCATATTGTATAGACAACATAAAATGGTAGTTATGCAAAGAAATTAAGTCATTTCCAGAACGTAGTCTCCAAAAAAAATAGAAAAGACTACTGTGCAAGAATAAGTAATATGCTAAGAAATAGAAAAGACTACTGTGCAAGAATAAATAATATGTTAAGATGATGGACAAAATTATATGGTACGACTAAAAAATCTTTGCAAATATTAGCATTCAAATTAGTTGGAAAAAAACAGTATTGGACATCTATTAACTTTTGTTGGTACTATTTATTGCTTTTTAGGTACGTATTTAGATATCCATAAATATATGATCTTTTTTATATTACAATCGATTATAAGAATTTTTTATTTATTCCATCTTTCCCGCATCTTTTGGACAAGTAAAAAATCGACAATACTTCTCTTTTTGTTATTTTTTCCATAAAAAAATATAAGAAATATATTTTTTCTTGTGCTAATTTTTAAGAAAATAGTCCAAACTGTATGTCATATATCATCGTTTTTGAAAAATAATTTTATTTTAACCATGTTTTTACGATAAAAACATTTCAAAAAGCGTTCCATCTTGCCCGTCCTTTTCTTATAGGAATAAAAGAAGAAACAAGACGATATAATTTAATAATTTTTAATTAGTAGTCGTGTTAGTAGCACTCGGTCCTATTTTTCATTTAAGTGAAAAATACGATGAGTATATGCGAGTATGCATGAGTATTTTTTAGCAAATTGCTCGTTTTTAACACTCTTTTTCAGCTAGTGAGTGATATCATGTTAATATGTTTCTCTTTTATTCAGTTTCGTTTTAATACAGATCTATATTGAAACAAAAGTGTGTAAAAGAGGAACGTATTAACGTACTTTTACTCACCAGCTGAAAATAGAGTATTAGAAAGGAGCAATCTGCTCAAAAATACTCAGGCATACTCACGTATATTCTTACAATTTTTCGCTGGATACACTGTACGTGTTTCAGAGTGCAAGAAACCATAAAAATTAAGAAACGGTAGAAAATAGGCTAAAAACGGGCCAAAAGTGGGCCACATGAGGATAAAAACGGTGGAACATTTTTGTAAGAGAACGTTATTGAATTTTTTTCTATTAATGCTTATTTTACTTTTTAAATATTCCTGTTTTGTCTATAGTATTGTCTTTGTCTTTTCGTTTCTGCTTCTAGTTTTTTATGCTTGTCCGTCACGAAAGTTCTTCAGGCTGCATACATCTAAACGTATCGGTGAGTGACACTTACTGGAGGAATGGCGACATGGAATGGAGGAATGGTTTTCATTTTTATGACAAAACAAATGCAGGCAACAATGTTGATAGTTGTAAAGTACTTATCGTACGTATTTATCATAATTTTAACCTTTATTGCTTCCATATATAATTTGCGAAATACTCTGATGAAATACTCTCGAGTTACCGATTTGCTTTCTCAGATACGTATAGCGCATTCCACATGTCAAGGGACCACTTAAGAATTAACTGCATAGTATTTTTAAAATGATCGCAAAAACATGTTAGTGCTAGTATTGGTTGTATAAGATTAAAGGTAAAAAAGTAAGTATTATATGTCTCCTCTAATACCACAACTCATTGGGTGGAGACTGGACCAACATTGGGCCCCAATATTGGTTCGCTATTGTAAAGTAGACGCCTTGCAATATATAGCTAATATTGAAGCCCAATATTAGACCAATATTGGCGCTCAAAAGTAAGCCAATATCGAATTCCTAACATTGGACCAATATTGAATTACGAATATTGGACCAATATTGAAATTTGAATCTACCCAGATAGCACAACAAATTCCTAATGTATTCTTCTTTTTTGGACGGTAATTTTTTAAGAATTCGTAAGAGTATACTATAAACTACTTTATTCCAATGTTACATTACATTTAAAAATTTTCACTGACACTGGTGGGACTCGAACTTGGACCCCTGAGGCACCTCTGGATTATAAGTGTGTTGCTTTAGGCACTACTTCTTTGATCGATATAAACGTTCCACATTTCGTCTATATATGTTGTAATTAACACAATAATATAATTTTTTGATAACATGATTTAATAAAATGATTTAATTTGAATAAAAAATTATATTTTTCGTTTTTTTTTCGTGCAATGTCTTAAAAACGATGGTCCCACAGACATTACAAATGAGATGATATGCATTGAAACATATCCTTGTAACATAACTGAAACTTTTTGTGCTATCATAGCAATATTGGATTTTCAATAAAATTTTATTTATATCCAAAATTGACTGTACATTAGCGCAATCGTGGCATGCAATATTGGCTATATATTTTTAGCCAATATTGGCTATATATTGGAATACATGTCATTCCAATATATAATCAACATTGGTGCAAGCATGGTCCCCCATATTGACGATCCATTTGTTGCCAATATGGGCTGTACGTTGGCTCAATCATGGCGCCCAATATGGCTTTTCATTATAATTTTTTATTTATCCATACTGGCTGCACATTGGCGCAGTCATGGCATGCAATATTGGCTATATATTTTTAGCCAATATTGGCTATATATTGGAATATTTGCGCCAATGTCATTCCAATATATTGCCAACATTGGTGCAAGCATGGCCCCCCATATTGGCCATCTATTTGTTGCCAATATGGGCTGTACGTTGGCTCAATTATAGCGCCCAATATTGGCTTTTTATTATAAATTTTTGTTTATCCAATACTGGCTGCACATTGGCGCAATCATGGCATGCAATATTGGCTATATATTTCTAGCCAATATTGGCTATATACTGAAATACATTGGTCAATATTATCTCAATATATAACCAATATTGGTGCAAGCATGGCCCCCCATATTAGCGATTTATTTGTTACCAATATGAGCTGTACATGGGCTCAATCATGGTGCCCAATTTTGGTTTTTATTATAATTTTTTGTTTATTCAATACTGATTGCACATTGGCGCAATCATGGTATGCAATATTGGCTATATATTTTTAGCCAATATTGGCTATATATTGGAATATTTGCGCCAATATCATTCCAATATATTGCCAACATTGGTGCAAGCATGGCCCCCCATATTGGCGATCCATTTGTTGCCAATATGGGCGATGTATTGGACATACACTGGCCAATGTAATCCCAATGTATATCAATATTACCAATGTAAAACCAATTCAATGCCAATGAAGTGTGCTATTAGGGTTGTGTCTAAGATATTAGAGATAGACCGTTCTAAGAAATTTTTTTTCCAATTGTAGATAAAATTATGAAAAATAAAAAAAATTATAAAGACATGAATTTTGTAAGTTTTTCTTTGTACTTTTAGATGAAAAAGTTGATTTTGGCGAAGATAATGTAATAATATGTAAAAAATCTTATATAAATTTTTTAGTTTTAAATAAATACATGAAAAATTATATCCACTTTTAAAAATTTGAAAAAATTATGGAATATACTGTATGTAGAATATGGTAAATAAAGAAGCTTTTGAAGTCGCATTGGGATCACTCTTAAACAAATATTTTTTTCAAAAGAAAATTGGAGTTTTAGCCAAATCAATTGAAAAGAAGTAAATTTTTAAGATATTTTTTTTTATAATTAATATTTTAGTGTATTTCTTAAGAAATAGCCCCTAGTAAAACTGCAGAGGCCACCGGCGACGTCGATCAGCCAAGGCGGCAGTCGTCGCAAAGGCACTATAGGATGCCGTACTATTACGGCATCTAAGCGTGATGCCGCACAGTTGAAACGAGAAATCGTGTTTCGTAATTGTTTACAGCCTCCAAATACTATCCAATTTTGATGCCTTTTTTCTTAAATTAAAGCTTATTTAATTCCAAACAAAGTTACGAGAGCTGATTTTTTAATTGAATTTTATTCTCAAAATGGTAGACGTTGAAAAGTGGGGTAAAAACGAGAAATTGTATTTCGTAGTTGTCGAGTATTTTGTGAAATAATTACACTCGTTCCCTTGCGCGAGTATTTGGGGTAGTTATACTCGTCTCCTTGCACAAATATTCGGAGTTACTCATCTACTCGAGTATAATTACTATACGGAATACACAACTATGAAACACAATTTCTCGTTTTTACCTTACTTTTCAACATCCGCCCTTTTGACAATGAACCCAAATAGCGTAGAGATGAACAGAAGTTCCTAGAGAATTTTAAAGAATATATATTCATTTTAAAGAATATATATAGAATTAGAAGAATGAATACCCGAAGAATTCTTGAAGAATTAACCACAGTAAGTTCGTCTTGAAATATTCCTTAGGACTTCATTATAGCGAATACTTCGCAACTTAATTCCTAGAACACTTTAAGAATTCATGAGGAATTAGAGCTAAACCAGAGAACGAGACGTAAGCGTCGTAATCGTAGACGTAAAGTAAGACAGAGAAAAACGTAAGCGTATAATCTTTAATGATCTTTCATGATTTACGTTTACGTTTTTCTCTGCTTTATTTTACGTCTTCGACTATGTCTCGTTTATCTGCCTTAGCCCTTACAAATGTTTTGTTTATAGCAATTACTTTTTGCGCCTATATTCAGTACATGCCAGTGAGTGTATAATAATTAATTTACATATTTACATATAAATTGTTTAATTTATTGTTATTCGCAGTTATTTATATTTTATGGAATTAATTATATAGTTTTATATAATAGGGCAAAGAGAGGAAATTGGTGTTAAAATAACTTTTGATATATAAAATTTTCACCTGTATCAACAATAAATATATTTATGCGAAGTATATTTTATCCTTAAGTTTGTATTCATATTTCTAAAATCCATATATAGTTCTAACAAACTCAATCGCATTATTTGAAAGCCATTTATTTTTGGATTCTGAATTATATATTTGAAAGTGTGCTTTACTTACTTTTGAAGCTCAGTTAGAACAGTATATATAAAAGTATAACAGTTATAATAGTTATAACAGTATAGTATCCAGCGAAAAATGATTCGTTGATTGACGTTAAAATGACATCAAATAGACGTTGAAATCATCAAACCGACATCAATTTGATATTTTAACGTCAATCAACGAATCATTTTTCACTAGGTATGGTAGATGTCACAAACATGAAGTCTTAAATAGTTCAGTGGAAAGAGCGGTTGTCTGGTGGCAAGCGGAAGACCCGAGTTTGATCCCAGCCGAGTGTGATGTTTTTTATCTCATATGGCATTAAAAGTGGACATCTACAGGTACACACAAGAGCAGCAGCACCTTCGGCCAAAGTTTCTGATCTTTCTTTCGTGTGGATACAATAAAATTTATTAAATCCGAAGAAATCTTTTTGAGTTGAAGTAATTCTATATGAATATTCTAAGAAGTTCTGAGGAACTCCAATCATGGTGCATGTAACTTCCTAAATCATTCTTATAGTATTCTTCCACGAATTCCTAAGGAAGTACAAATGATTCGTTGATTGACGTCAAAATGATATCAAATTGACGTCGGTTTGACGATTTTAACGTCTATTTGATGTCATTTTAACGTCAATCAACGAATCATTTTTCGCTGGATACTATACTGTTATAACTATTATAACTGTTATACTGTTATATATACTGTTCTAACTGAGCTTCAAATGTAAGTAAAGCGCACTTTCAAATATGTAATTCAGAATCCAAAAATAAATGGCTTTCAAATAATACGATTGAGTTTGTTAGAACTATATATGGATTTTAGAAACATGAATACAAACTTAAGGATAAAATATACTTCGCATAAATATATTTATTATTGATAGAGGTGAAAATTTTATATATCAAAAGTTATTTTAACACCAATTCCCCTCTTTACCCTATATAAAACAATATAATTAATTCCACAAAATATAAATAACTGCGAATAACAATAAATTAAACAATTTATATGTAAATATGTAAATTAATTATTATACACTCACTGGCATGTACTGAATATAGGCGCAAAAAGTAATTGCTATAAACAAAACATTTGTAAGGGC